GCGGCCCTGGTCGGTCCCGCCTACCTCCACCCACCCCCGGACGGAGCAGCCCTGAGTCACCAGCTGAAGATGCGCGACCCCGGCCCGGGCCTGCGCCGCGGAGCTGCAGTTCTGAGCTGTGCTCTAAACTACGCTCTGGCGCGGGGTTTAAGGTGTGTTCTGCGAGTCCTTGGGAAGGGGTGGCTGGGCAGGAGAGTCTGGAGTTTGCACCGAAATCTTCAGCAGCCTGGGTTTCGGAGCCGGAGGGCCCACCCTGAAGAGGGATTGGAAGCTGATGCACTTGACATTCGAAGAAAGCGAAGGGAAAGCAACGCTGCTTCACAGCGAAAGGAGAATGAGGGTAAAATCATCCCCACGTTTTACATTGGCCGGGGGCTCCCAGGTTAATGATGCTTCCCTCCACTGTCCCCTGGACATCCCTGGGGTATTACTTCATCAGGAAGAAGGGAGGAGGCCAGAGAGGCTGGAAGATTCCCCCGAAACCACACAACAAATTAGTCGGCAGAGCACAGTCTAGAAGCCACCTCTCCGTCTGACACTTTGAATAAAGTGCCAAACACGATGGCGAGAGACACGGACACAGAAAGCATTGAGATTCTGCCCCAGCCCTGGTGACACTGAGAATGTGATGTGAACAGCTCTTACTCCGGGCAGAAGACAAGGTGGGTGAGCTAAATTAGTTCTAGGAGACCAGCGCAGGGTCAGGCACAAAGCAGGCACTGTGAATAGATGTCAAATAAACAAACAAAGCAGGGACCACAGAGGAAGAAATAATATATTGCAAGGTGGTCTTAGGGGAAGGCTTCTCACTGAAAGTGGGTAAATTCTTTGAATAGATTATTAAGAGGCAGGGAAGGGGAGGACAGGGCAGGGTGTCAGCTGCATGAGCAGTCTCAGCAAAGGTCCAGAGGATGGAAATATTTGATGTGTTCAAGGAAAAGGGCTACCTGCTGTTACTGGGGCCCAGGATGCTGGGCAGTTCTTGGTGGGAGTTGAGGCTGGCCATTCTAGATGGGTGTGGACTCAGGAGGCCCTTGAAGGTGAGAGGCAGGGTTGTCAGGGAGTTTGAGTCCTGAGGGTGCTCCCAGACACTGGCTCATCTGAAGGCCCATGTAGGGTCCTGGCCTCTAAAGAAGCTGCCTCAGGAATCAGACAGATGATGAAGTCATAGCTCATGCTTTTCCCCAACCTCTCTCATCGGCACCACTCATTTCCCCATTTCTCCAGTACTCAGGACTGAACCGGCCTCTGATAGATGCTCAATACATTTCTGTTGGAGTGAAATGAAATGAAGAAAGAAAATCCTAGTCGGGTTTTGCTACAGAAAGGTTATTGTTGTAGCTACAGTACCCATTCCTCACTCAGAAGTCTAACCACGAAGACACTCAGAGAAGTCCAAAAATGGTCCTATCAAGAATGTGACCCTAGAAAGAAGGGAATGCACAGAAGAGGGGCTCACAAAGAGATCTGTGAGAGAAAGCTGTGTGGCAGTCAGGAACAATAGGAAATGGTGTGCAGATGCCAGCCAGCTTTGCTCTGCTAGTTCTCTCTCCTGCTGAAGAGTTTAATTAGACTGCTACTGCCAGGGTCATCTCTTTACAGATGGAGAAGACCACTGTCAAGCTATAGCCTGGTTTCTGCAGGAATCATGGGGAAGATCCAGTGGTGGTATCGTCCATGGAAAGCCAGAAAGACTTTGCTCCTTAGAAATCAGGCCTCACAGGCATCTCCAGACAATGGGAAAATGTAAGGGAACTGCCCTCCTAGGGTCCCCACCTCCATACAGGCTCTCAGGTCAGCCAGGTGGAGAGACTTGGGCGATGAGCCTCTGTTGCTATAGGCTGCTCACCTCATCCCAGCCTGGTCTATGTGTGTCTAGTTGCCTTTGGGCTTGAGAGAACTAGGTGAGAGGATGTGGTATCCAAAGACATCACATCAACCCCTAGTGGGAGGCTGCAAACTCATCCCTAGGGTGGGGGATGGAGCTGGACCCAAGCCCAAATCAGGTTGGTGGATTTCTGATGGCTCCAAAAGGCGGGCTCCCTGAAGAGACGGAGGGAAGGAGGAGCTCGAATTTGGCCAGATTTCTACAAGTCTCACCCCTTATTCCCCAGGGCTCAGTAGCGAGGATGCTATACATCTGCACCAAATTTCACTTCCCTGGTAGCTCTGGCCCAAAGAGAAGACTTCCCTACTTACCCCCCATCTTCAGAAAAACCCCACAGGAGTGTAGACTTCACAGACAGCCCTGTCTTAGGTAAGCACAGTAAACGTCCTTGGGGACGGGGGTGAAGGTCAGGCAACAGGTGATTATTAGGCTCATTTGACCCACAGAAATTTAACAGAGGTGAAATGGGAAGTCTCAAGCCACAGGCACATTAGAAGAGCTGGGAGCTAGCAGCTGCCACTTCAGCTACAACCCATGGTTATTCTTCCAGATTCTAATCCCAAATAGGCACGGAGCTGAGCCTCAGCCCTCCCGGAGATGGATTTCAGTGTTCAGACATGACTCTGAGCAGTGTTTCCTCTCTGGGTCTAGGAATGATTCCAGCAGAACCATAGGACCAAAGCGACACCTAGAAGACTTACTGTTGCCTCACATCATTGAACTTTGAAAACAACCAGAGGGATAATAATAGCTACAGCTCACTGAGTGCCCAGCGGGTCCAGCTGCTGTGCTGGCATCTCACATACATTATCTCTAAAGCGCCCACAACCTGCAGACGAGGACTCTGAGGCTCAGTGAAGCTCTCAATTGCCGAGAGCCACACAACAGGTGGGTAGAGGGGCCAGGTCTAAACCCATTTTCCACACCAGTATCTGGGCACTAGTGCTGGGCTTCAGAGGCCACTGGGCAGTCTGCAGGACCTCACTCCCACTCTGGGCCTCCGTTTTCTTTTCTGTAAAAGGAGGATGCGGAGAGATAACCTCCAAGTTCCCTCCAACTGTGCCACTTTGGACTTCCAGTCCCTCGGGCACTTTCTTCCTTGTGGCACTGCTCTCGGGCACGGCCCCCTTCTTTTTAAAGCTGCTGAAGCCAGCACTTAGGTAAGCTGGGCAAAGTGCCATGTGTTCCTGGCACTCCCAGAGGCCCAGGGAACTGTTGTGCATTTGACTTGGAGGGCGAGGTGGGTAACAGAGGGGAGAAAGAGTATAGGTCAGTGTAAGATCCTAGCTCTGGAGTTGGACAACCTGAATTCAAATGCTGGTTCTGTCACATATTAGGAGAGTGGCTTGGACACATTCTTACCCCTTCTTAGCCTCAGTTTTCTCAACTGTAAAATGGGGAATTAACAACTCTTAACTTGCAGATTTGTTGGAAAAGACAGGATGAAATAAAGCAAGTAAAATCTAACAGAGGCCCACTAATTTTTTTTTAATTTTGTAACTTTTTAAAAATTGAAATATAGTCATTTTATAATGTGTCAATTTCTGGTGATAGCATGATGTCTCAGTCACACATATACATACATATGTTCCTTTACATATTCTTTTCCATTATAGGTACCACAAGATACTGAATATAGCTCCCTGTGCTATATAGTATAAACTTATTTATCTATTTTACATAATAGTACTTAGTATACGCAAATCTCAAACCCCCAATTTATCCCTTCCTATCCTCTTCCACCCCTCTTAACATAAGTTTGTTTTCTGTGAGTCTGTTTCTGTTTTGTAAATAAGTTCATTTGTGTCCTTTTTTTAGATTCCACATATAAGTGATATCATATGGTATTTTTCTTTCTCTTTCTGGCTTACTTCACTTAGAATGACGATCTCCAAGTCCATCCACGTTGCAGCAAATGGCATTATTTTGTTCTTTTTGATGGCTGAGTAGTATTCCTATATGCATGCATGTATGTATGTGTGTATATATGTATGCATGTGGGTGTGTGTATATATATATATACACACACACACCATAACTTCTTTATCCAGTCATCTGTCAATGGACATTTAATTTGTTTCAATGTCTTGGCTATTGCAAATAGTGCTGCTATGAACATTGGGGTGCATGTATCTTTTCAAATTATAGTTTTCTCCAGATATATGCCCAGGAGTGGGATTGCTGGATCATACGGTAAGTTTATTTTTAGTTTTTTAAGAAATCTCCGTACTGTTTTCCATAATGGCTGCACCATACTACATTCCCACCAACAGGGTAGGAGGGCTCCCTTTACTCCACACCCTAGTGGAGGCCCACTCTTACAGGCACTGCTACAGGCTGCTAGGGTGAGGGGGACTCCCGAAAGACCCGCCAGGGCACAGGCAGGGAACTGCGCACCAGGGCTACAAAGGAGAACAGATCACAGACAGGCCTCTTCAGCCACACCCAGGATCCAACAAGGATGATTGTCCTGCCCCACAGGTGGGTGGCTGCCTCTTCCAGAGCCTCTGCTCGGTGGGCTGGGGGGGGCTACAGGGGACAGGCAGAATGTGGGGCCCTAGCCTCCGCTGGGTATCCATTCTTGCCAGGATACCCATTATCCTTGAGACTCTGGGTTGCCTCAAAAGCCGCTCGCCCTGTCTGCAGCTGCAGCAGGGGCCCAGACGGTGGGTGACGGGAGCTGATTAGACCCCCATGTCTGCTCTAAGCTGGAAAGGAGGCAGGGATGCTGATCAGAATGTCTGTTACCATGAAACAGGCACTGTGCCAACACACGATCTCGGAATACTCATGACCACTGTGTGAGGAAGGCTCGACCATCTCCATCTCACAAATGAGGACATTGATGCCTGCAGGGGTCACCCGGCCATCAAGCAGCACACCTGCGACCCCCTGCCAGCTGTCCACACTTAACACACCAGTGTTAATGACTAAGGAAAAGTCATTTTTAAGTTAAGTTTCTACAAATAGATGGAAGAGAGGACCTAGGTCTTTGAAAGGAACTCGAAGAGTCTTCTTCATCTGTCATCATTCTCCTATTTGTCTGAGAACCATGGCTTTTTATCAGTTTCTACCCCTGGACTGTAAGCTCCGTGAGGGCTGAGGTTCTCGTGTGTTTTGTTCACCTTTGTCTCCCCAGTGCTTAGAACAGTGGTTGGCACTTAGTGACACATGGTACATGCTCACTAAGTATCCGCTGGTGGGAGGAAGGAGGGCAGAGGGGAGGGGACTCTGTGCAGATCCACTTCTCTCTTAAGTCAGGCACCTGAGAGACGGAAGCACCTCACCTAGGGCAGCGTGGGCCGTGTCCTGAGTGACTGGGTTCCCTCACAGTGCTGCCTCAGGAGCAGCTGCCCCCCACCCCCAACCATGGGGCCAGGCAACCAAACCTGCTGCCCCTAATGAGAGGGTGAGCAATTCCTCTGTGGTCCTATCAGAAGTCAGGGGAGGAATGACCCTGATTTTGGTGACTAACTGCAGCAACTACCAATGTTATTTCTGATCATGAAATGACCCAGCTGCTACATTTGGAAACAGTAGGATTGCAGAGTCTGAGGGCTAATTAGAAGTGTGTCAAATGCTATTTCTTAATAGCAAGGAATTCCTGCAAAGGAGAAATGCATAAATAAAGCCAGCTGGGCAGCAGAATCGGTCCCAGAGGCAAAGCCCTTTTTGCAAGGCCTCCCGGACCTTCCCATCTCACTCCCTTTCCCTCCTCCACAGCCTCTGTGGAGCTGAGTGACAAAGGTCCGCAGAGCAGACCAGAGGGCCCAAAATGTCAGGCCAGTGCCTGCCACACGCCTGTCTCTCACTCTTGAATGGGAGTTCCTCTGGGCAGGGCCTGACAGCCTTCTTCTGTGTATCACCAGTTTCCAGCACAGCATCAGGCATCATGGCAGCGCTCACTAAGTATCTGTGCAGTGAATAAATGAATAAATAAATATCTAGGACAGCAGGCTGTGGCTGATCCCCATTCAGTCCCATTAAAATGCCACAGAGCCTACTCAGACATAAGCCAATGCCTGTTTGTCCATTAGGGTGGTATTTCCAGTTCCTTCCTTCCCTTTCCTTCTTGAATGCCTACCATGCCAGGCAGTTCTAAGTTCCAAGGATACAAAAATGAACAAAACCTGACCCCAGCTTCTGAGGAGCCCAGTGACGAATAATGGGGAAACAGGCATAAATGGTCACAACATGACATAACAGAGCTCTATACAAGCACAAAGGGGGCTTATTCACAAGAAAGAAGTCATCTGAGAGCTGAGTCTTAAAGGATAAGCAGGTGGGCAAGATGTGGAAGGGCGTTCTACACAGAGCAAGAGGCAAACAAAGGAACTAATGCATGGAAGTGTGTGGGGAACACAGGAAATGGTCAGCTGTTTGGGGTGTATGGGTAGGGGGTGGTGATGGTAAAGAGTTTAGAGAGGTAGGCATGGGCCAGTTAACAGATATCTTTCATGCTTTTGTAAGAAGTTTGGACTTATTCTGGTAAGCCATGGAGAACTACCCAAGATTCTGTAACAGGGAGTGAGATGATCAGTTCTAAATTTTAGTGAAGTGGCTGGAGCCTAGTGGCAGGGGATCACAATGACATTGCAGCAGTCCAAGCAAGCAGCGCTGTGGGTCTGGATTAGGGCAGAAACACTGGTGCAGAAGAGAAAGAGGGCAGACTCAAACGACTTGGTGATCAGTTGGAGGCGTAGTGAGAGAAAGGATTTGAGAATAGCATGTAAATTTCTTGCGTAGGAGACAAGAGCTTTGGTGTAAGGTAACCACTAACTGAATTGGGGAACACAGGAGGAGCCAATTTGGGAGATATGTTCAACTGAACTTGAGTTCTCTGTGGTCCGCCCAGGAAGGGAGCTATAAGGGCTAGTGCTTAGGAAGAGTGGAAAAGGCCAGTCAGGTAGAGACAAGAAAGCCAGAACACAATTGGGGCAAAGACGTAGCTGGGTGGCTGCCTGTGCACCCACCACCTAGACATAGGGGAGAGGCCGTGTACACCAGAGAGCAGGACTTCTGGATCCCTCCTGTGAAGATGAAGGGACAGAATTGGCTTTTTTTTCCTCTCCTGCTTGTCAGATGCCCTGATTCAAAGCCCCGGACCCAGGCTCTTAGAAATACTCATGTTTTTATTAAGGACTTGATCATCTGACACATGTTACAGTGGACTCCTACACCTAGGGCTGGAACAAAATCTGGCTCAAAAAGGGGTCAGGTGATAAGACTGAGAAAGAACTGAACTGAAAAGATGCCCATGGTCCTGGTCCAGCATTTCAGTCTAATGGTGCCTATAATTGAAACCTCCATTTTCCTTGAGAACCTGGGAAGTGGAAATTAAGGGAATGTTCCCAAGATCGGTATATATTTTGAAGCTCTCAACAAGGCTGAAAATACCCATCGGTATATTTTGAAGTGTAATTTCCACTCCTTTACCAGCCAAAATAATTGAACAGGAAGAAAAAGCTGTTAATGCAGGAGGCGTGTGACATCAGATCCACATTGCCTGGAAATTTACCATTTCAAAGCAATTGAGGGTTTTTACAGCCAATGTTTACAGTCATACATGTCCCCTCTCACTGGAGTGAATCTCTGAAGCCATCAAAAGGCCCATCAATCTGGCTTGGACACTGAAATTGTTCAGTGTCTGGAGCTGATGTCAAAGCAGAGGGAATTTTTAAAATTATGTTGCCATTTTGCGAGCACATAAATCTTGGGATATCTCCTCCTGGGAGGTGGTATAAACAGTTGGGGCTGCCAGTGCTCACTGGAGCCAGTGGTGGCATGGCCAGGTGCACTCTCCCTCAGTATCCCTGCCCCCATATCCCCGCACAGATTGTCCTCTTACCCTAGTCTAGGTAGGTGTTTCTCCCTCCTGCCCAACCCAGAAATGCCTGTCTCTACCTCCAGCTCAGTGAAGCAGATCTGAGGGCTGCAGGTTCTTCAGCAGAGTCGGGGTTGTCCTACCACTGCTCACAGCCTCTGCCGGGCTTGGCAGGAGAGACAGACTTTACCGACTTGGTCTTCTGTCTTCTGCCAGTGCCTCTGTGTGTCTGTCTGTGCGCAGAAGCGCACGTGCTATTTTTCAGTTGGAATCTGACTTCAGGCTTTTCCTGGGATTACTAATTTCTTTTCCTGTATTTGTGTCCCATGGAGGAAATTTCTAAATCCATGGCCAATCATTTGCCTTTCCTTCCGTTTCTTTGAAATCGTTACAAAGATTTCACACATCTTCACAAAGGCCACTACCTAAAGACGGAATGTTTGGTGTATTCTTGGGCAACAAGGATGATTAGGAGGTGGGGAACCTGGGTTTTAGTCCCAGGTGTGCCATAAGCTAGCTTGCTGACTCTGAAAAAGTCTCTTCTCTGGACCCCTTTCTCATGTTTCAAATGAGAGCTTTGGTGCAAAAGGACTTGGAAGGTCCTTTCTAGTGCCAGCATTTTAGGATTCTGTCTACTTGTTTCAATTTTTTAAACCATTCCCTGCCCCAGCGAGAATTATTGGCAATAAACCAATTCAATTTTCTTTATTATCATTGGGACCCCTGGCACGTTACATACATACATATACATCCAAACAATTTAAAATGTTCCATTGCATCGAGAATCTGAAATTTTCCAGATTACAGCAGACCTGAAAAGGAGAAACTGGAAGAATGTAATAGAAATTGGTACATCCAAGGAGACCTCTGCGGAGAGGAAGCCGAGGTGAACAGAAGTGGCAGCTTCACTGCACGCTCTTTTGTACCTTTTGAATTTTTGCCACATGCAGGTATTACCTCTTCAATTAAAAAAACTTTTTAAGCAAGAGAAGAGTTTTTCTTTCTCTTTCTTCTACCATAGTCCTCTTTACAGTTCCGTTCCTAGAGGGGAAGGAGTCCAAGACGTGGCTGGCATCACACGTGGGTAGCTGCCCCTCAACCCAGGCCCTGCCCAAGGCCAGCTCCACCCCTCCAGCTGGGTCGGCCCACAGCCCTGCTCCCCTGGCTGCCCTATGCACCCAGAGGGGTGCTGTTTGCGCACACTACTGCTGGTGCTCCAGCTGGGCTGTCAGGCTGTTATAGGGACTCCATTCAAGGAGTTCCAGTAAAGGGCTGGTCCTCCTGGCCCCACCAGCCAGACGGGCAAAGGGGCCTAAGTGTTCAGTGAAGGGGCCAGAGCATCCAGCTTTAAATCTCAAATCCTCCAGAGCTTGCCATTCCCTTTCAGAGACAGACTGCCTTTTGTTTTGTTCTGTTTTCTGCTGCTAATACAACATGAGGACAGAAACATGAAAGAAAAAAGAACAAAAGAGCCAGAGATGAGTGGGGAGAAAGGGTCTTTAAGGCTCTGCAGAGCTGGGCTGCAGCATCCCTGGCGGGGCCCTGGCTCTCTCCCCTGCGCCAGCTCCTCCTCAGCTTTCCCTCGTGACCTCCAGCTTCCACCTGGCCTTCCTCTTCCACCTCCATTTCTGGTGGTCACCTTCGATAGGAGCTGGCCCTGCACATCTGTGTCCCCTACCTCTCCTGTCGTCCCTCAGTTCTTCCTCCTTGGCTTACCTCATTGGCTTCCCTCCTGCACTGCCACGCTGCCCAGAACGAGCTGCCATCTTTCTGGTCCATTTCCCAGGCTGGAGCTGCGACCTGCCCCAAGACTGGGATTGCTCAAGGTGGGTTCCTCCACCCTCCATTCTTTCTTTCCAGGGGCAGCAAAGCCCAAGTGAGGGTGGACTGACCCCAGCAGCCCGCGGGAAGGTGGAGGCAAGAGGACACTTGAGAAGTCATGACAGTCAGACAAGGAGCAGCGGATGGGTTGTGGACTCAGTAGAGTGGACACAAACAGACTCCAAGAGATGAAAAGATATTGAGCAGAAGAAAAAACTGCTTCAGGGAAAGAAAAAGCAGAAAGCAAAAACCATCAAAGTATAAGAAACAAGAAAGACCTGAAGAGAAACCATCCAGAGAGCAATGGTGTTAGGTCAGGGGGAGGAGCAGGAGGGAAGGGGGTGTCAGCATTTGCGGAGCCAGAGGCCTGAGGAATGGCGTAACAGAAATCTCTCAGGAAGGGTCACTCACCTCCCAAGCTGTTGGGCTCATTGGCTGCAGCAAGCAGAATCTATTTAAAACACACCAGGCATTTTGCCTCATTCTGTCTCCCTGCCCAGAAAAAGCTGGAGCCAAAGGTTTAGGGAACCATTCCAGCCTTAGGACCCTGCACGGATGACAGAGCTGAGACCATGAAGATTGCTGCCCCATCTGGGAATCACCTCCCGCCTCCCTGCACACGCCAGCTGCCAGGCCACTCAGCCCACAGCATATGATCGCAGTCCCAAAGGTTGCTCGTGTTACCCACTTCCACTGGGGAAGACTCAACGACTTCCTTCTTTCCGCCTATGAGCTTGTCAGAGAGCAGATGCTGCTCAAATGTGACAGCTGCTCCAAAGCCATGCTCAAAGGGAGCTTCCTGGCCAGTGGGAATACACTTAATGATGACTGGAGAGGCCTTGGGTGATCGGATTACAGCAAGATGGAGTAGAGAGCATGCAAAGACATCAAGGGTAAAATGGCCCTAGGGAGGCCATATGGGACTTGAATCGGAAAACACCTTTCCCTGGACCGTGTATCTTTTGGGAAGCTCTAATCTGAAGAAGCCTGACTTCTCATCCACCTGCCACAGAGGAGTACAAAACAAGGTGGGTGGGCACTAGAGGGAGTGGCCAAGGAAAGCCGTCCATGAGAGCTTTGTATTCTCCCCAGCTGAGGTGGTGGGTAGGAGAGGTTCTTCCTTCCCTGGCTCTTGAGCCCATAAATTGTGTAAAATATTATTGAAGGCTAAAAATAAGTCCTCTGCACTGCATGAGATTTACATTCTTGAAAAACGTAGTGTACAAATCAAATCAAGTTTTGCCTACCAGAGAAGTTGGCCTTTCAAAAGAAATTTGAGATCAATCCTATGTTTAAAAAGGATAGCTTTTGAAGGTGAATAATCATCCTGGTTTTGTTTGTAACTTTGGGATTTTGAGTGTCTGTCTTGGTGGCGGTGGGACTGTCTAGAGATCCGCCTATAGTTTACTTTTAGGTTGCAATTAAACATTACTTTAAAATCAACACTAAACTTAAGCAGATAGGTGCACTGCAGGAGGTACTGCTAAAGAAATATGAATTAAGAAAGACACTTTTTAACAGGAATTTTCAAATATATATTTTTAAAAAGTAGAAAGCCTAATATAAAAAACACAGCCTCAACAATTATCCACCTACAACCAATCCTATGAGAAACATGGACTTTTGAACCAAATGACAGATACAGAGAATGGACTTCAGTCTCACGGAGGCTACAGGAGCCAACTTTCCACACAAATGCCCTAGACTACAGTCTACAGTATGAAGAAAGGGCAGAGAAGTTCTTGTTTAGCAATCAAAGAAGAAACCTGGGATTTAAAACAAACACACGCATTCACCTCTTGTCTCTGTCTGTCTGTCTCTGTCTCTCTGAAGGAGGCACATGCACAAATCACAGCAACAGTGGTGACCGTCAGGGAGGGAAAGGACTGTGGAGGAAAGTCCTTTCTCATTATACATTTAAAAACAAATTTAGTACTATGCGCACATACTACCTGTTTTTAAAAGTAATTTGTTAAAGACAAACATCACGAAGTTTGCAGTTCCCAAGTCCACCAGACAGGACAGCAGGGCAAACTGCCTGGCTCAGACCACCAAGTCTTAGCACACGTTGACCTGGATTTGCTGCATTACAATAATCTGCTCAACCTCCCAACCCCAAGCTGTACATCACCAGCATCTATACTGCATGTTACATAAAAACCCCCAGCCTTTAATGATCATGTGGGTGTTTACAGCTGTTAAAATTCACTGAGCTGTACTTCTAAGCTTTGTACACTTTATTGTATGTTCATTGTACTGCACTTCAATAAAGTATTATTAACAGCAACAAAAATCCCAGCCCTTGTGTACAAATAAACCAAAGAATCACCATTTGGGGTTTACTGTGTTGGTGGCTCAGGGAAAACTGTTGTTTTGAGAAAACATGATGCAGCCGTTTTGCAAAAACTTGCTCTTTGGAAACTACCACCTCAGCATGTGCTTTTGGTTAAGCGTTCCACGGCTGAAACGCAGCTCTATGCTAAAATGCCGAGAGGATGAGGCAAAATCTTGGCCAAGGTCAAGCTCTGCTGATGGTTTGAGAGGAGGATGGCAGCCAACTCTCTGCACTTGTGTAACATTTAAAAAAGAAACACTAACCCCAAGTCATCTTCTGTTCCTTTTCTGAGCCAACTTCAGTCTTGCTCATTGTATCCAAGAGCTCAGAGGAAGCCATGAGGGCCCACCGCACCTCTAGGGCCAAACGTACAGATCCTGATTAAAAAGAAACGAAGCTAGCTCACTGCGGCTCCAGCTGGCTCTATGGGATATAATGAAAGATGTCAAAATTCTAGATAAAGTTAGGGTCCACCCAGGAGAGGACAGAGAAATATACTGTTGCCTCCCTTCTGGCTATCTGGGACAAAAAACAAAATGACCCCAGTTTGGTAGAAAATGGGGGGCTCAAGTCTACATCGAGGTGATTATTGTGAAGAGCTTCAAGTTTAGCATACTTGGTACAAATCCGTGCTACAAAAAAACAAACAAACCAAACAAATACACTATACCTTTTTGGGGCTGAAACTAAGCATAAGGATGGACTGGAAAATGTATTTTCTGCCAGGTCACAGGGAATGGATACACAGAGAGAAAAATGTCTCTCGGCAGCTGATAAAATACCAACTTTACACTTTGCATGACTGTCTCGCTGGCGGCCAGGCGAAGGGAAGCAGGATGAAGTCCCAGGCAAGTCCGGGTTAGACAGGAGCAGGCCCAGAGACGTCGCGCGTCTCCCTGTGAGTTAATCACAGCTTAGACTCATGAGGGGATAACAATGTGTTAACACTGTGGACCCCTCTAATTTTCTTAAGCAGTCGTGACAACATAAAAATAGAGGATATTTTTAACTTTCTGGTTTAATGTTTTCCTTTTAAAGTATCCAATTCTATTCAGTTCTCTCTGTGGTATAACCTTAATTTCTCCTCTCTTTAAAATGAGAAACACTCTTCCTCCCTCCCCCAACAGCCCCCCAACTACAACACTTGGAAAAATTGCCTCATTTCTACTCTATGCTTATCTCTTATTAAACCTTACAGCACTGGCAATGTGGGTGAAGATAAAAATTTCTCTCCTCTCTTTACGGTTAAATAGTGAACTGAATAGAAACGTGAGTGCCCTCTGGTGAGAAGAGTACTCTGATCCAGGCGGGGCTCAGATGGAGTCTGCGAGGCCAGGACGACATGGTGTGGCCGCCCGCTGCCTTCATCCCCCTTCTTGCCGCGCACAGCCTCACTCCTAGGGCTGGAGGTGGGATGAGGGCGTTCAAGGAAGCAGAAGGTACACAGCATCCAAGGGCAGGGGCCACATAAGGAAACGGAGGGGTATATTACAGAATGCTACACTGGGAAGGCCCTTACGGCACATCTCATTCAAACTCCTCATTTTATAGGAACAGAGGGGAGCCCAGAAAAGTTAAGTGATTGGTTCCAAGACATATAGCTGATGGCCAGAACCAGAACTCAGGTCACCAACCCACTCTTCTGATCCTCCAACACACTACAGAACTGAGTTTAGGGAAAAGCAAAATATAAAGTTAACTCCATGGACTACACTCCCATCATCCCTGCCAATCAAATAAATGTACCTTCTTTAAAACCACCTGTGTCTTTTTTTTTAAACAACCCCGTGTCGTGATCTCCCATTTCTTTTCAGCCCCATGAGCTTACTAAGCTCAAATTTCTGATTTTTACCCAGGACTTAATAGATATCCTGGTGGCCTGAGAAGTCAGAATCTCAACACTGCCTCTGCATGTTACAGCCTGAGAAGGGAGATCTTTGGGAAGCAGGAGCAGAGTATAAGTACCTTCTCCAGCTCAGGAATATCTGAACCACACATCATGCTTATAATAATGCTGACTGTAAACTCAGCAGCTTTTGAAGCTTATGCTGGCAGAAAGGCAATAGGCTACCCATCTAGCAAGAGAGAAAAATTTAAGAATTAGTAACAAATAAGAAGGTTGCAAGGAGGGCAAATGCTTTTGAGTTCAGTCTGGAGGGTATGAGATTAACTGTCTCCATTCAGTCAGGGCAGAGAATACCTTTTAAGGCAGTGTGTACCACATGAGAGGAGGGAAGAGCCCAGGACATGTGGACTAGCTCACTTGACATTCCCTGCTCCGATGCACCAGAAGTCCGCCCTCGATTACCCAGCACATGACTACCCACTTGGTCCAGGACCCTCTTCCAGCAACAGAGATGGCCACAGACAAAGCTGGTTAGCAGGAAACAATGGTCCCATCTTCCCAAATAACATGTTGGCAGTTAAGCAAGGACCTCGATGCCGCAAGCAAAAGCATCTCCCTGGCAGGGTTGGAGAATAGGTACTTTTGAACAAGAGGGATGTTTGGCTGCATGTCAGCCTTGCTCTGTCACCTGATGCAAAACTGCCCCAGGACTAGGGATAGGCAGAAAAGTATTAGGCTCCAGCACGAGGGGGCTACTGGGTGAATATGTAAAAAGTATAGCTGAATTCCAAAACACAAGTATTTGAGGATTATGTATTATTTTGTTACTTAGATCAAGAGTTAACCATGTAAGAATTCTTACACCCTCTTTTAGCTTAACTCATCCAAGAAAAATTGATTCTCACTGTATTCCAGAGGGATGAGGTACTCTAAAAATGATCATGTAAACAACAGAAAAGATGAGAGACCAGAAAGAAGGATCCTTTTAAAATATATAATAATTAACAAACTAGCAAGCTGAGAAACCATGATACTTCTCATGAGGGTGAGACATAAGTTAAAAAAAAAAAAGGAAGAAAAGATAAATGGATGAGTGACAAACTCAGAGAGAAAGGGTAGCAAAGGATTTAAATTATAGTCAAATGTTAGGGCCCCAGACTAACAGGTAGAATTGGAAGCTGAACAAAGCTCGTTCTGCCTGCTGGGTTCCTAGGAGTCTAAAATGAGGGATTAAAATGGCTTTATTTCAACAGAACACATTTTGTCATCTGATCTCTATCTGTGACATGGGTAAGAATAAGTGACTTATGGCTGCGCTCTTAAGAGGCAATAAATCCCTGAATATGGTGCCTTGTTTACTCTATGATGGCAAACCACTAACTGCTTGTCTATCAGGAAAAAGAAGTCTATAACTTCTATTTTAAAATTAAACATTTTTATTTTTTATTTTAAAATAAGCAGTATTTCCAAAAAACACTGACTGCAAGGGGAAATGAGGCAATGAAGGATGGGAGACAGAAGGGAAGCAGAGAAAAGACCCTGAGCCTGCAAACAGAACCATCAGGCACATTCAGAGAGGTCCTTCTCTGTCACTGTCCTCCCACTGCCACTCGTATGGAAGCTCAGCAAATGCACAAGGACATGAGTAAAGGGTCAAACAGAGGCATTGCCTTGCTAGGAACTCCTAAAAGGTCGTTATCAATTTGTACTCACTCCAGCAATGTGCGTTCCCCTCCTTGCAATCCAATTTCTAGGGTTCTCCTGTAAAGAACTGATCAAAGATACAGTGAAAGGTTCAAACACAAAGAAGTTTATCACACCATCATTGACATTAACAGAGTATCTGAAACCACCAAAATTTTCAACAGTGTGGGAATAGATAATTAAAGTAAGGTAAAGTTACTAGAAATCTACTTTTAAAAATTTAAAGACACAAGAAATTACTTGTGATATCATGTTACATGAGGGGAAAAAAAATAGGAAACCAAGCTGAATATATGACTCTCAATTTTGTTTAAGTATTACATGTATTATATGCATTTTAAAAAAACTGAAAGGGGGATATTCATAAACATAACAGCAAAGATTAGCTCTGTTTTACATGGATTTTTATTCTTTCTTTAGATTCATCTTTAACGAGCATACACATTATTTTTATATCAGAAAAAAATTTTTATTTTAAAATATGCTTACCCTAAAATAAGTCATTTGAGATAGTAATTGTCAGTCTCAGGGAAAGGATGCTAAAATCCAAGGCTGACTCAGAAAACAAAAAGGTTCAAATCCACACAGTAAGTCTTCTGAAAAGGACAAGAAATTTCTTATGCCACAGTCTACATTTTTCCTTTATCTTGCTGCTGGCTCTACGTTACTAAGCTTTGCAGGGAGCTCTGCTGGAGAACCCATGCCTTCTTCCCACAGCAACCGCAGCACCTCAAGCAACCTCTTACATATTTCTCACCTCTTAGAATGAGGATCACAGGGAAAGAGAAAGGAAGAGCCCTACTCTCTTGCTTCAGAGGAAGGCGTTTTTCTTTTAACGCTATCAAAATTACTCAAAATCAGGTGTGCACAAACTGAACATAAGTCATGAGTTATTCCAGGAAACATGTACAAAAGCCCCTTATTTCGTGAGAATGAATATAAAACAAGATCTCTGAGTGCCACCTCGTGGCAAGCCTGACTACTACGACGACCACCATCCATCCTGTGGTTCTCCACCACCGGCTCTGTGCAGTACAGTCATGGAGACATGTGCCCCATAATAACCTGCTGCGTTGAACATAAGGTCCCCAAAGTGGCTGGTACTATTTGTTTTCAAGGATTTCTAGTTTAGATCCCAGAAACACCTGTTTGAGGACAAGCGGGAATGAAGGGGCAGAACAAAATGCAGGCCATACAGAGGTCGTGGGCTGCTGTGGACGGGCCAGCGCTGTGTGTGTGGGATGCTATGTGTGGGGGATATCTACACACACATACCACGGGCTGCCACACGGCAGGGACCTGTAGGATAAAGATCTCCTTCCCCAAGAATATCTACTGATTTTATAAAGTTATGAAGAAAAAGTTTTACATTTATAATTAGTGAACTTTGTGCTTAAAAGAAGTTTTATTTATCAATGTTAAAGCAACCATCACCAACTCGGGCATAATTCCAAAACAGAGCTCTTGTTGGATTATGGCCATAAAATTCTTTTTTAAGCTTGTTAAGATCTTCTAAGTTAAGAAAGCTTTCTTAATACTTTAAAAAAATACTAATCACCAACAAGTCGGTTCGATGATCAAAGTGGCAGCCTCCCATTCTGAAAGATGAAACACCACCGTTTTGAACATCTAAACATACTAATTAATCTCAGTGTCCCAGGCCTGAGGGGAGATGGAGAAATCCTCTCACTGCAACCTGACCAAATGACGCTGGGAAAGAATTAAGAACTTAAAAGAGGTCAGTATTGCAAATCTGATGGAACACAGAACACTGAAGGGACCTGATACCGATTCTGAGAAAAGACCATCTTCCTCTCAGAATGGGATTTAGCAAAAAATCCTTGCGGTTCAGGGCAGGAGGACCGCAATGAGCAGATGATGAACGGCACTCAAGGGAAAGCTGAGACAATCCCCCAAGTTTTCTGGGAGACAGTGCTTCTGCCTCCCTCTGCCCTACCCAGGTTGAAGGCCTATTTTCAAAAAAGGATTCCCTCCCGCGTTAGGGCAGACGCATCTGGCAGGAGATTGCTCCTTTGGTCCTGCACGTGGAAAGGGGAGGATTTTCAAGCATGTGAAATAAACTGAAGTCACCGAGATGGCCTGGATCCCAACCAGGTGAGTTGCAGGAGAGCAGTAAGCCAAAGAATTTGTAAGTTTGACCTGGGAAAATAAATTTGACCCCTTTTCACCCCTCCAACTTCTGGAAGAATGTTTTCTCCCCTCCTCATTTGACAGGATTGAAATATTTGACAGCGCCTGTTTGAGATAAATCAACAGGGAAGAAAAGTATTAAAAATCTGAGAGTCTTGACAAAAACACTTCAGGGAGAAGCCTTCATCTGTCGTCTGAGCAGAGAAAGCAGAAGATGGGAGAGTAAAATGAAGGCCAAGGCCCCCACTTGTCCACAAAAATAAGAGTTCTTACCCGGCCCAATGAAAATTCAAAACCATAAGCTCCCCTTAAAAAACAACAGCCTTGCTCCACCAGAAGCACCCTGGGATCAGTACAGGTTAGTATTGTGAGTTGTGTCACCAGGCTTTGACAACTAATGGCATTAAAACAGGAAGAGGTGTCTTTTCAACCTTGGCTCCAGCTTCCCAGCTGTCCTTGCCTGGAAGGGAAGCCCCTATCACGACAGCTTGATGGGAAGGTCTTCCCCGTATTTCCGGAGCAGCTTCTGATGGTTGTGGTCCACCGACCACTGCTGGGGCAGGTGCTTGGGCTGCATGGAGTCCAGGAAGTGCTGGCGCCAGCGGCTCTCCAGCTGCATGAGGGAGCGCAGCCCGCCCCGGGTGTGGCGCTGTACCACCTTCAGCCCATGAGGGATGTAGCTTTCATTGGAAATCCTGCTGAGACACAAAGAACAAGGGTCTGAGGGAAGCAAGCACAGGACGGCCTCACAATGGTGCCAAACACTATGGGCCAAGGGGCTTCCCTGGGGGTACATGAGGACGCTGCTGGACCCCTAAAGGGCTGGCACTTTGATGCTTTGAAAAACATCCTCTTTTTCATATCTGCCTTTTAAAAAATATTTCCAATGTATTACACACAATCCAGCAGAAGGCACTGGGGGATTCTGAGCTGAACCTATAGGAAGGCCACTCACTGCATCTGCTCAGCCTCCATTAGAGGGGCCCCGCTGTCTGGCTGATGGTGGGTGAAGAATGCTGGTCCTTCATCAACTCCAGGGTTACCCAGTTACCAGCTCACCCTTCTTTTAAGTTACTCATTCTGAATCATATTCAGCCTTTATATGAGCTGTTGCACCAGCCCACCGGTTCCAGTTTTCATCACAGTGTAATGCCTGAATGTAAAATGAAGGTGGCATATTTCTTTGGTGCCTTCCTTCTCATAAAAAGAATGCCAAACCACATCTAAGAGATGTGTTCAGGTCACAGTGAAATGCTCCCAGGGTTGCTCGGTTGTGTGGCTAGTGCTGTTTAATGAGATGAACCCTGCCTCCTTCCTAAGATGCCCTGTGAACAGTGATGTCAGCTCCTGTGAAGAAAGATCACCTTTCTCGAGGAAGCTCCCTGCCCACAGTCTCAGTTCCTCTACTTGCATCCGCACCCGCCTCAATCCTCCCTCTCAAGACCACCCCCTGCACAGTCTAGCAGTATTCCTGCCCTCTGGGTATCTGCAGGCATTTTATTATTTAGCTCATAAGCATCCCACTAACTTGTCTGACCTTCCCCAAACAGCTATTCTTCTTGGTCCTAGATATCCAAGTCCAGCACCCTTCCATCCAGGTCAGCAAAATGCATTTGTTAGTAAAGTCTGTGACTAAAAGGGGAAGTTTAGCTGTTTTAGGAAATACACCTGGGAATTGGTTAAAGGAGCCAATCTCATTCATTTCTAAAATGACGTTGGCAAGTTACTTCAACTTCGTGGGACCTAATATAGAACTTAGAAAATAGTTTATAAGGATAAAATTCAATAATAATTTTTTTAAACTTCAGAAGATTTTTAAAAATATAGGCTATAATGTTAGCAGTTACCAATAAGAAATCTGAATTCTACCTTACAGGGTCGTTATAAGAAATAATGAAGGCAATTTATAGAAAGTTTATTAACTTGGTTAACTAGATTAGGGTATCAATAAAAATTTGTTCAATAAATATTTGTTGCTATAATCAAGTTTGGGGAGGTGGGTTTTTAGAAATTTTATAACAAACACTATAGGCAACCAGCATCACTAATCAGAATTTGTGAACTTGTAAGTTTAATTATTTCAACCCTTAGTACTATTGAAAGAAGTGGCAGTTGGGAAGCAAAACTACAGCAGGTAGCCCAGAGTTTTTATCATCTGGGCCACGTGCCCAGTCATTTCTCAGCACCATAAAATGCTTCTCATTTAGGAACACTGAATTAAACGATCTGAATTCAACTATGTACTCACGGGGAAGGAGAGAGAAGCAAGCAAGGAAGGTAAAGGGTGAAAAGGAATTTAAAGAGTAACAACATCTCTAGCCAACATTCCACTCCGTGGGCCAAAACCCCAGAGTGCAGGCGAGACGGAAACATGGATCCATTTGTCCCGGTTCCCACAGATCTAGATAAGGGAAGAGCTGCAAAACCACAAACACTGTACTTCACGGGCAACTCCAGAGATTTGAGGGCATTTTTTGACTCTTATTTTCCTCTTATGTGCTGACCTTTTGCATAAAGTGTATAAGGCATTTGAACTCTCCCGCTAATCATGAAAATGGCTGGACATAAGTATATGACCTTAAAGGGTCAAGGACAGAAGGCAAGTCTCCTGTGGAAAGTAAATTGGCAAATAGATAGTTCTGTCCCACCTGCATGGTACCTTAAGCCACTGGAGACTTAATGGGGTGAGCATGAGGCTGTGCCCTGACCTCAGTGACTAATGCTCACTCCCTGGCAAGCGTTCTCACTGAGCAGTCGGGGTTAATGTCACTGGGTTAATCCTCAATGCCCTGTGAGCAGCACCGTAGACTGTACCTGGTCTCCAGGCTGGCAGCCTCCTGAAGCATCTCGTCCGTGACCGTGTCTGTGTTATAAAACTCTCTGAGTGCCCGCAGCAGCTCCTCCTTTCGGTGAGCAGGCAGGCTCTCCGCGTTGAGTAGGGCCCTGGCCCCAGAACGCACCTGCCGGCGCTCGGGGTCTTCCAGCAGGCGCAGGCCCTCCTCGGAGCCAATGGGGGCCTGGAACTCCCTGGCCAGCTGCTGCTTCAAGTGGTTGTCATAGTAGTTGGAGATGGCGTGGCAGGAGGTGCAGAGCAGCAGCACATCGTGGGAGTTGTGGTCCTTCATTTCAATGGGGAAGTGCTTCCGGTACTCGTGAGGAATCACGTTCTTCCTAAACAAGCCCCACCCGGAAGGCAATGCTCATTAGCATATGACACAGAACACACACAGAGTTGGCAGATGGGCTACTGGGATTCTGATCTGGGTCTAAACACGACTGAGATGCCCTGGGTGCCACAATTCAACAGAGATGACATAAAAGCAATACTACCTATCTCATTCTTGGCCACCTACCTACATGCCTTAGGCTGCCCTCTCCCCCAAGTGAGTGCAGACTACCTGCTGCTGGACTTCACTGGTGGGCCAAGGGGAGGAAGAGGCTAATAACAACCTTTGAGAAAGCAGTGCTCCCACAAGGAAAAGTATCCGAGAAATAAGAAGAAATTCCAATGGCCCTTAACATCTGGAAAAGAACTTTCTCTCAAAGCATGTAGCAGATAACCTCTACTGAAATTCTGGAAGCCTGGTGATCTGTGAAAGCCAGTTTCCTTCATCTGAGGAATCCCTTATCTGAAACTATTGCCCTGGTTCATCGAAGTCCATCATCATTTTCTAAGGAGGACTAAGATCTCAGGAAAAACTCTTGGCAGCAACTATTTGTCTCACTTTGCAAGTGGAGAAGGAGGGAAGTGAGTTACTCCACAGAAACCAGCGGAAAGCCCAGATGTCTGGGCACCCCGGCCCAGTGGTAGCTTCACCTTCTTTGTGGGGGGACCTTGACTCAGAATAATCTTCCCAGACTCTTCCAGAAGGTGCCTTCAGGTCATCTGGATACTTCATGGACAGCACCAAGAATCAGAAAGCTTGTAAGCCACTCAAGGGAGGATCATAAGGACACAGAGAGAAGGAACTGGTCTCCGTTCCTTCATGAGCGAAAGGGAACTACTCTCTTCATGGCAATCTGTTACTGAGAAGTGTTTCATCTCAGAAACTAAGAACTGGCTGGCCCAAGACAGACAGGAGCCACTACAGCAAGACCAGGCAAGACGTCAAAGCTCTCGGGGAAACTCGGATGCCCCTAGGGACAAGTCTCTCAGCCAAAGTGGGCAGACTCAGCCAAGCCTACTGAGGGGCTCTGAGTGTGGCTTCAAGGGCAATTTCCATGAGAGGCAGACAAAATGGTAGCCTCGCCCCACACTCACCGAATGTATGAGTCTTTCTTGCCACACACTACACACAGGTTCTCTTTGACCATCAGGTAGTAGTCCCCCGGGGATTCGGGTCTCCCCGCAGGTTCGAACTGTAGCTTGACCACAAAAGGTTCTTCACTCACCAGCTCTTGGAGAAAAGAAGCAGTGTTAGCGTATGACTGCCCACTTCTCCCCTAGGGAAGAAGCACCACCTCAACTGCTCTCCTGTGTCCTGGTAGAGATCACTATTTCTGGGTTTTGAACAGCCCAGTCCCACGTGTCTCAAGGTCTCTCTGCCATCTTCCATCCATCCCTCTCCCTTATCTCACTCCAACTCCAGCCAGTGCCCACATGCACCGAATCACAGATCAAATATGACAGCTGAATCTCAAACCTCCAATGCCTTTGTCCAGGTACCACTGAGCCTTCCTTCGATCACAGGTGCAGAGGGGCTGTCCATCAGGAGCATGGAGAAAGCAGTTATCATAGAGGGGTGATTTTCTGTGGGGAAGGCAGAGAGAAATCTAAATCTGGGAGCTAACTGTTGATCAAGCTATCAAATGCCTCCCTATGTTCTCTTCCCAGTGACCCAAGCTGTTCTCAACGCTAGGGTCAAACATTACCTTTATGGAAAAACAAAGAAACAAGGCAAGAAACCATGTTTATTCCTCCATCTGCACTGGGGTAGGAAACAGAAATTAAAATGAATTAGTTTATACTCTTAGTTTTTATATTTATGGATTGGGACATTAGGTAGTGTTTACATGGTTAAACTATGACAGCAAATAGGAACAGAGCACCAAAAAAACTTCCCTGTAGAGTAACCACTGGATTAAACGAAGTAAATTAAAATTAAAGAACTTCAAGCTAAAGTAATGAGTGCCATGTGGATTTATTTCTGGCTCACACGCAATACTTGCTTCAACTTAATCATCCAATTCCTAAAGGCACTTTGCTATAGGGACCAAACTTCTACTCCAAAGTACTTATTAGTTATCTTTCTGCAGTAGAGGCAGAAGCTGTACAGGAAAATTCTCACTGGCTAGAGAATAACATTGGCTTAGAGCTAGATGCCACTCTAATCAAATACCAAATGAACAAGAACTCAGATGATGCATTTCTCCTGAAAAGTATGAGGCACTTCATGTTATTCATTTTCACAGCTGTCCTGAAGCAAACAAGGAATAACAATTATGCCCTCACTTACAATTGGAGAAGCACAGATCTGACGTCACATCGAGGTCAGTGACAAAGCTAGGTTAAGCTCTCCTCATTTCCACTCCAACTGCTCCCAAATAAAAAAGTACAAGAAGGGCAAAGGAAAAAAATACACAAATAAACCAAAGGATAGCGCCAAAAAGAAAACAAAAAAAAAAAGAGCCCCAAATGTCCTTGAAGGAAAGGAATAATAAAATTAATCCAGGAGAGCCTCTGCCCCGTTACTACACAAGCCATCTCCCCAGATCCAAGGGGAGGCATCTCGTCTTTTGCTGGAGGCTGGGCCTCTGACTCTTTACTAGACAAGAAACAACTCAGTTACCTGGCAGAATAGCCCACTCCCAAGGGCTTTCTTTTATGTTTTCTGGGGTCTCTTGCTTGGTGGTTGCCTGGCATTGTTCCATCAGTCTTAGACTTCTTATTTCTTGGCTTCTGCTGAGATTCTGTTGATTCCCCATTAACCTCTTCTCCCAATCTGCTGATTCCTTTACTTCGGAATGGGATATCTACCACATCCTGGCATTTCTCCAAGACTTTTCTCCAGCCAGTGCAGTCATCCTTTTCTTCTAGAGTTGAATTCCTAGAGAAAGGGTATCCAAGAAGATGGAGAAAGAGAGCCACTGAAATCTGGGCATCCCTGGCAGCATAAATTACCTGAAGAGAAAAGTCAGAGATCAGTGGAATCTGGGAGGCAAATCAGAGAGAGCAACTTCAAAGTCAATCACAAAGACAGAGACAACTTCTAAATTCTAATTCAGGATATACAGTAACCTGGACACCATGTACACTTTAAAACCCTTCTATTATGAAAAATTTCAAACTGTGCAAAAATAAATCAAATAGCATAATAAACCCTTGTGTTTCCTATGTTTTTAAAATAATAACTTACTCTAAACGCTCGAAATTCCCAATCTATATAAATCAGCCTAGTTTCTTTCCATCTGCCACCAAACCTGCTGGACAGATTTTTCTCAAGTTTGGGGTAGGGTAGTTACCACAGGTCTGATAACTAGTACATGAACTTCGCTTTGGGAATGGTCATCATCTAGAACAACTGAAATCAAGACTCATTAGGAGGCCTGTGTAGTTGTTGATAAGAAACAAACTTCTGTACTTATTACTAAGATGTGCAAAACAATGAAAACAAACTATTTCAAACATGGATCTCAAGTCAAAAGTCACAAGGGCCCATTTCTGGAATTCATGTATTTAATAGTGTAAGTCATTCTCCCAAGCAACTGCTCACAGGCAAGCTGGCCATAAATAAAAGTAGTCAAAACTGTAATTAATTAATAGCTTTTTTCCAAGAAACCATGTAAGGACTTTAAAATTTCTTTAATTCATCTTTACTAATCAAGCCTGGTAAATAATAATATTTTTTGTGGTTTTAGAATAATAGAAAAAAGAATAAAATAATAGAAAAAAAGGTTTAGATAAAATTTTCCACTTAGACCCAACAACTGACATCTCTATCAGCCAGTTGTGTTCCACAGGAAAAGAGGGTGCTTGAATGCGAATAGCTCAGAATGCCTTTTTAACAAATTGTTTTCAAATGATAAGGAAACCAAGGTACTTTCAACAAATGGTGCTGAAACAACTGGATGTCCACATGCAAAAGACTGAAGTTTGACCCCTACCTCACATCACACACAAAAATTAACTCCAAATGGATCATGAACCTACGTATAAGAGCTAAAACACAAGACTTTAGAAGAGAACATAAGAGTAAATGTTCATGACCTTGGGTTAGGCAACAATTTCTTAGATATGACACCAAAAGCATGAGCAAGAAAAGAAAAAACAGATACCTGGACCTCATCAAAATTTAAAATTTTTGTGCTTAAGTAAAAAGTCAATCTTCAGAATGGGAGAAAATACTTATAAATTATATATCTGATATGAAACTGGTGTACAGAATATATAAAGAATATATGTATAACGTGATATATATACATTTATACATATGTATTTATGTATTTTATATATATATATATATCTTTTAAAACTCAACAATTTAAAGACAAACAAAACAATTAAAATATGAACAAAGGATTTGCATAGGCATTTCTCCAAAAAAGATATACAAATAGCCAACATACAAATGAAAGATGCTCAGCACCACTGATCACTAGGGAAACGTTAATCAAAACCACAGCAAAATACCACTTCACACCTACTAGGATGGCTCTAGTCAAAAAGATGGTAATAAAAGTTGGTACAGTTATGGAAAATTGGAACCCTCATACATTGCTGGTGGGACTATAAAATGGTACAGCTACTTTGGAAAATAGTTCCGCAGTTCCTCAACCAGTTAAACATTAAGTTATCATATGACCTAGTAATTCCATCCTAGGTATTTACCCAAGAGATGTCAACATAAAAACTTACACATAGATGTTCATAGTGATATTACTCTTAAGCCAAAAAATAAAAGCAATCCAAATCTCTACCAATTGATGAATGAATAAACAAAATGTGGTATAGCCACACAATGGAGTGTTATTTAACAACAAAAAAGAAATGAAGTACCAATAAATGCTACAACATGGATGAACCACAAAAACATGGTAGGTGAAGAAGCCAATCACAAAAAAAAAACATATTGTATAATTTTATTTATATGAAATGTCCAGAATAGGCAAAACTATAGTTTTTAGATTAGTGGTGGCCTAAGGCTGGGGTGCTGGGGAGGTGAGATGGGAAGTAACTGCTAATGAGTATAGGGTTTCTTTTTGGGGTGATAAAAATGTTTTAAAACTAGACTGTGGTAGGATTTTGAGGTCAAGATGGTGGACTAGTAGGACCACAAGTTCACCTCTTCTCAAGACTACGTCAAAACCGTAACTGACAGCTAAACAACCAATGGGGAAAAAAAAGACCGGAACCTAGCGAAAAAGATCCTTAACTGGAAACATAAAGAGGGAACCACAGTGGGAGGGTAGGAAGAGCGTGCTTGTGAAATAATTGGGCCCATACTTCATCCCCCTGCCCCCGGGTAGGGGACCCACAAGCTGAAGAATAATGAAGTCACAGAGGCCCTCCCACACGAGTGAGAGTTCTGAGCTCCATGTCAGGCTCCCCAGCCCAAGGTTCTGGCACTGGGAGGAGGAGACCCCAGTACATCTGGTTTTAAAGGCCAGAGGGGCTTAATTCCAGGAGCCCCATGGGACTGGGGGAAACAGAGTCTTTGTTTTTTGGGGAAGTGTACACAGAATCTCACATGCACAAGGTCCAAGATCAGAGGCAGTGATTTCATAGGAACGTGGGCCAGACCTGCTTCTGGTTTTAGAAGGGGGATGTAGGGGATGGCTCCTGGGGAAGTAGGGGATGGCTGCGGCTCCCCTAGGGGACATAAAAGCTGGTGGTGTGGGGCATTCTGGGAGTGTTCATCTACAAGAGCTTTCCTGGAGGTTGACATTTTGATTGGATCATTAGCACCAAGACCTAGCCCCACCCAACAGCCTGTAGGCTTAAGGGCTGGGAAGCCTCAGGCCAAACAACATAGTAAGTAGGAACACAGCCCCAGCCATCAGCAGACTTCCTGAGCCCCAAACGCCTCTAGACACAGCCCTACCCACCAGAGGTCCAGGACCAAGCTTCACCCAGCAGTGGGCAGGCACCAGCTCCTCCTGCCAGGAAATCTGCATAAGCCTCTAGTCCAGCCTCATCCACTAGGGGGCAGATACCAGAATTAAGAAAACCACAATCCCAAAGCCTGTGGAAGGAATCCACAAACACAGGCCAGATGCTACACTGGGACTGGCTGGACCCTGGCCCTTGGGTGACAAGAGAGGAATGTACTG